TCTCTCTATATGCTACCTCCAGTGTATAAGGAACTGGTGTTGCAATGGAACATATCCTGCTAACAGTACTGATATCCTCTCTCATCTAGTAATTTAGGTTAACAAGGTGAAGTTTCCTATCTGGTAAATGTTATTTTCAACCCTCACTTAGTCTTGGTACTCAATGTTGCAAATTATAACCTGTTGACTTCATATAACATCCCACCAGACAGTGCCTAGTCACTAGTGGGACTAACTGTACTTGCCCTTGGGATTCTAAGAGACGCTTCCCTACCTAGGACTAATGAAGTCTCCTGGGTTTACTATTTTTTGCTTTCCGTTCTATCCTGTCATTAAATAATTTAACCCTTACTGGCAACAGAAGATGTTGTGATGGAGGTAATTTATTGTACCCCTCACTTTCCGGTCATCAGAGTCCTATATTGCTCTGCTGACTGTGAGACTGACTTTGGTTGCCCAAAAGCTAGGTGTTCTTAATGTCTGCAGCTGGTCCAATTTTAGCTCTCCTGCCAAATTCAATTTTCAAGTAGGAATTCATCTGACATCTCCTGAGGCCTTAGCTTGTCTGATTGTAATTCAAGTTTTATACAGTTGCACAGCACGCCTGTCAGCAAAATGTGAAAAAAACAGCTTCCAGCTGTGGACTGGTACATATCTGAACCCCAAATATCCTTCCTAAGATGCAAGCAAAGGTTGTTTTAAAAATGAATAAAGTCTTTCACTGATGATTTTGGTTCTTGTATCAAAGTGCTCAGTACAATAACATATCTAAAAAGAGACTTTAATGCTGGGAGGACTTTCAAATGTGTCAGTCCAAATATAGAAATCCATTTAGCTTTTAGTATATACTTCAGATTTTTTTCTTAGAATATTTTCTAATTACATTCTGCTCATATGAAGAAAAACGTCCCCAAAACCCCTCTTCCTTTCCTGTATTATCCTGCAGGGAAGTCGTAAATCTGAGCATCTGACATCATTTTCATAAATGTAGAAAAGGTTTATAATCAAATGATCATGATTGCACTGTGGCTGCTAGCAGAAGACAATCTGAGAGGGGACTTCTGAAGGCCCTGATCCGTGTCTAAACCTGTCATGTGGTGGTCCGCTGAGAGTGCTCTCCAATCTTAGTCACTGACCACAACCACTCCAGGTCTTCTTAACTACCACTGTACTTTATTATATATTATATTTACAATCAGTAGCCAGCTTCCCCACTTGCTTTTGGGGAAGAAGAAGGGAAACAACAGCAGTAGCAGCCAATCCTGCCTATTTCTGCTTTCTTTCAGGCTCCTTACTCTCCTACCAGCACTTCCTTCCTGTTTGCTTGTATAGTCCTAGCTGCTGGGGATGCTTCCACCTAATTAGCCTCTCAGGTGTACCTCCATGCAGTTAATTGGCCTTCCCTGCCAACTGTCTGTCTTTCAGTCAGAGCTCAGTTAATATAAACTGGCGGGAATTGGAGTGCTGAGACAGCAGCTGACACCCTATTACAAAACCCCAGATATTTTCCATACAATCAAAGGATGTGTAGAAAAATACTGGCTAAGTAACTTCTTTTTGGTTTCCTTCTCCAAGTTTAGCCCAATGTGAAAGTCCTTGAAATATAATGTCCCAAACTCTTTTTAATTATATTTTTATAACCACATTCTCAGTTGACAAAGTATTTTGTTTACAAGAGAAAAAAATGGAAAAAATCCTTAACAACATAGCCAAGAGGAGAGAAAGGCTTTGATATATTACCTAGCTCTCAATAGAAAAAGAATAATATTTCCATTAACAAATCCTAGAGGGCTTTCCTGGACAAATTTAACTTTTATGCTTTAAAGAAATAAGACTGAACAGACAAAAAAGGAAGAGCAAATGTTAAGAAGTGTTTGTGAACAAGGTCAAATGTCCAGTGTGTCTGGAATACCAGGTGTCCAATGTCTGACTACCCGGATGATCTCTATACATCTTTCCCACAGAGATCTGTACTTGTGATGAGTTCTCCCTAATGTGTTTTCCTTGAGAGATGGCAACAGTCCCAGCTTGGAGACTTGTATTTAACTTGTCCAACAAAGTCAAATATATATATGTTTTCAAATGAATGCCAAAGTGAGGATTCTATACAGTGGACCGTTTACCTCCACTTTAACAGTTTCAAAGACAACAAATAAACCAGGAAAATGTAAAAAGCAAGCATCACATTAAAAAAACCCCACCACCATAATTGGGGCTCAGATTCACCAGGGTTCTTAAAATATATGCCTAATTGTAAGCATGTAAGTAGTCCCATTAAAGCCAATGGAGCTACTCACATGCTTAAAGTTAGGCATCTACTCCAGTGGTTATTTGAATTGAGGCCTGAAAGAACATTCTAGCTTTAGTCACATTCCTGGAAATGAAAAGATCTTATGAGTTTTATTAGCCAAACTTTCTTTCTTCAAGCAGTGTACAGATCTTAGGGTATGTCTACCCGGCAACTAGACCCCTGCGACTGGCCCGGCCCAGCTGACTCAGGTTGCAGGGCAGTTTCACTGCTGTATAGACATCTGGGCTCAAGCTGCAGCCTGGGCTTAAGGACCCTATGAGGTGGGAGGGTCCCAGAGCTCAGGCTCCAGCCCAAGCCTGGAAGTCTAAACAGTAATGAAACAGCTCCACAGCCTGAGCCCTGCAAGCCCAAGTCAGCTGGCATGGGCCAGCTGCGGGTATCTAGTTGTTGTGTAGATGTATCCTATATCTCTAAATATATTTGCTGAAAATATTACCTGCCTCATAGCTAGTTTAAAATACTTGCCATTTATTTCTGCTTGATTCTGATCTTAGATATAAAGTTGTAAAGTTGGAGTAATATCATTAGCTATGCTATCACTGCCCTAAATCCAGTTTAGGGTCAGATTATGATCTCGGTTATAACTGTAAAGCTATGGTAACTTTAGTGACTTCAATAGAGCTATTCCAGATTTACAGCCATGAAACGGAGAGCAAAATGTTTCCCTAAATTGGGTCTAGGGCAGGTGATGTGACAGTGGCTTTAAAAAATATGTCCCACAAGAATATAGAAACATAGACCTTTTCATACTAGATAGGATCAATGGTCCATCTAGTTCAGCATCTTGTTTCTCAAACTAGCCAGTACTAGATGATGCAATGAAAGGTGCAAGAAACATAAAATGGACAATAATGCAGTAGCATGCATATAAAGAAGTTTCTTCCTAACTTCAGGCAGTTAGTGGTTGACTTATGTCCAGAAAGAACTCACAGTCTTTAGAACAAAATATAAAACACACTTATTTGACTTAGATTCAGAGAGAAAAGGTGGGTGAGGTATCTTTTATTGGACCAGCTTCTGTTGGTGAGAGAGAGAAACTTTCAGGCTTCAAAAAGCTCTTCTTCAGGCCTGAAGATATTGTCTCACCCACCTTTTCGCTCTAATATACAGGGACCAACATGGATAAAACAATACTGCATACAACAATGGAAGATATTAGAATCATACAGGGAATTAAAAACTCATACAGTGAGATGGAGAGAGAGAAATATTTATCCTTATGATTTTGGGTAAAATGTATTAGTCTATCAAGTAAAGTGGGCCAGATCACCAGTGAGAACTGGCATAGTTTCAGGGACTTCAGCACAGCTCTGCCAATTAACAGCAGCTGATGAACTAGTCCATCGTTCTGTAGAACAAGAGATTTGATATCCCTTATACATATTTTTATTATAAAGGATGAGATAAATGTTACCAATCTAGTAGAAAAAAATTATCATAAAAATTCTTCAGGGCTATCTTCTTCAGATGGCACTGATACAACATATGAGATATAGTTGATTCTCAAGATATTCCAAACCATACTGCATCCAGATGCAATGCTTTATTGATACTTTTGACCAGGCTTCTAAGCAACTCCCTCCTCGTTCTCTCTGGACAAGTTCCCAAATTATTTCTAGTTTTCTTTCTCTAACCCATCATCCCTTCTGGGCTTTGGTAATTAATAGTATATAAGAACACAAGAATGGCCACACTGGGTCACACCAAAGGTCCATCCAGCCCAGTATCCTGTCTACTGACAGTGGCCAATGCCAGGTGCCCCAGAGGGAGTGAACCTAACAGGTAATGATCAAGTGATCTCTCTTCTGCCATCCATCTCCACCCTCTGACAAACAGAGGCTAGGGACACCATTCCTTACCCATCCTGGCTAATAGCCATTAATGGACTTAACCTCCATGAATTTATCCAGTTCTCTTTTAAACCCTGTTATAGTCCTAGCCTTCACAACCTCCTCAGGCAAGGAGTTCCACAGGTTGACAGTGCACTGAGTGAAGAAGAACTTCCTTTTATTTTTTTTTAAACCTGCTGCCCATTAATTTCATTTGGTGGCCCCTAGTTTTTATATTATGGGAACAAGTAAATAACTTTTCCTTATTCACTTTCTCCACACCACTCATGATTTTATATACCTCTATCATATCCCCCCTTAGTCTCCTCTTTTCCAAGCTGAAAAGTCCTAGCCTCTTTAATCTCTCCTCATATGGGACCCATTCCAAACCCCTAATCATTTTAGTTGCCCTTTTCTGAACCTTTTCTAATGCCAGTATTGTAAGGGGAGACTTTGGCAAACCAGTAAAGTGCCTGAAATCACTATGGCTTATTGCTAAAAGCAGCCAAGTCAGCAGGCTGTAAATTAACCAAGTCAGCAGGCTTAGCTTAACCAAGGCAGGAGGGGAGGGGGGTTCTTGAGTGCTACAGAGAGGGCAGCTTGACCCCGCATCCTTCCTGATAAGAATTGTGTTGAAGTTGCTGATACATGCATCTTAGAAGAGCAGGATGTGCCCCAGGAATGTCTATTGGAGCCTCAAGGCTGCAAACTCTGGAAAAATCCACACCTGGTTAATCGATAATCAGAAGGAGCCTCTTGCTTGCCCATTGGAACTGCTTGCTTAACAAGTTTTCTTTAAGGGACATGTCATTCTATTACTCATGTATAAATAAGGGGCTAAAGTTTGAGGTAGGGGGATTCTTCAGGACTGGACTCTCTCTCTGGATGCATCTTGTGTTTCCCACCGGCAGCCCACTGTGCCACTCGAGAGCCACACTCAGCTTTGGTAATTATCAAGGGTTGGGGGTGTTTTACTAACCTGTTGCGGATGTGTGTATAGGTGCTTGAGACTAAGTAAAGTTTAGCTTTAAGTGAAAGCACACTTGTGTTGCCCTGTTTGTGCCAGCCATCTATCGGTCGGACGGCCGTATCTCCCCTGATTTGTTTCCTGACACCACCTCGCACAGAATAAAAGTTACCAAGAGCTTTGGGTTGAAAGAACCCAGGGTAACAGTATATCTTTTTTGAGATGAGGGAACCACATCTGTACGCAGTATTCAAGATGTGGGCATACCATGGATTTATATAAGGGCAATAAGATAGATCTTATTCTCTATCCCTTTTTTAATGATTCCGAACTTCCCGTTTTTGCTTTTTTGACTGCTGCTGCACACTGCGTGGACGTCTTCAGAGAACTCTCCACAATGACTCCAAGATCTTTCTCCTGATTAGTTGTAGTTAAATTAGCCCCCATCATATTGTATGTATAGTTGGGGTTATTTTTTCCAATGTGCATTACTTTACATTTATCCACATGAAATTTCATTTGCCATTGTGTTGCCCAATCACTTAGTTTTGTGGGATCTTTTTGAAGTTCTTCACAGTCTGCTTTGGTCTTAACTATCTTGAGCAGTTTAGTATCATCTGCAAACTTTACCACCTCACTGTTTACCCCTTTCTCCAGATCATTTATGCATAAATGAATAGGACTGGTCCTAGGACTGACCCTTGGGGAACACCACTAGTTACCCCTCTCCATTCTGAAAATTTACCATTTATTCATACCCTTTGTTCCCTGTCTTTTAACCAGTTCTCAATCCATGAAAGGATCTTCCCTCTTATCCCATGACAACTTAATTTACGTAAGAGCCTTTGGTGAGGGACCTTGTCAAAGGCTTTCTGGAAATCTAAGTACACTATGTCCACTGGATCCCCCTTGTCCACATGTTTGTTGACCCCCTCAAAGAACTCTAATAGATTAGTAAGACATGATCTCCCTTTACAGAAGCCATGTTGACTTTTGCGCAACAATTTATGTTCTTCTATGTGTCTGACAATTTTATTCTATACTATTGTTTCAACTAGTTTGCCTGGTACTGATGTTAGACTTACTGGTCTGTAATTGCCAGGATCACCTTTAGAGTCCTTCTTAAATATTGGCGTTACATTAGCTATCTTCCAGTCATTGGGTATGGTAGCTGATTTAAAGGACAGGTTACAAACCATAGTTAATAGTTCCACAATTTCACATTTGAGTTCTTTCAGAACTCTTTGGTGAATGCAATCTGGTCCTGGTGACTTGTTTACTGTTAAGTTTCTCAATTAATTCTAAAACCTCCTCTAGTGACACTTCAATCTGTGACAATTCCTCAGATATGTCACCTACAAAAGATGGCTCAGGTTTGGGAATCTCCCTAACATCCTCAGCCGTGAAGACTGAAGCAAAGAATTTATTTAGTTTCTCTGCGATGACTTGATCGTCTTTAAGTGCTCCTTTTGTATCTTGATCGTCCAGGAGCCCCACTGGTTGTTTAGCAGGCTTCCTGCTTCTGATGTACTTAAAAAACATTTTGTTATTACCTTGTGAGCTTTTGGCTAGCTGTTTTTCAAACTCCTTTTTGGCTTTCTTATTACATTTTTACATTTAATTTGGCAGTGTTTATGCTCCTTTCTATTTACCTCACTAGGATTTGACTTCCTCTTTTTAATAGATGCCTTTTTATCTCTCACTGCTTCTTTTACATGGTTGTTAAGCCACGGTGGCTCTTTTTTAGTTCTTTTACTGTGTTTTTTAATTTGGGGTCTACATTTAAGTTGAGCCTCTATTATGGTGTCTTTGAAAAGTGTCCATGCAGCTTGCAGGGATTTCACTCTTGTCACTGTACCTTTTAATTTCTGTTTACTAACCTCCTCATTTTTGCATAGTTCCCCTTTCTGAAATTAAATGCCACAGTGTTGGGCTGCTGAGGTGTTCTTCCCACCACAGGAATGTTAAATGTTATTATATTATGGTCACTATTTCCAAGCGGTCCTGTTATAGTTACCTCTTGGACCAGATCCTGCACTCCACTCAGGACTAGATTAGGAGTTGCCTCTACCCTTGTGGTTTTCTGTATCAGCTGCTCCAAGAAGCAGTCATTTAAAGTATTGAGAAATTTTGTCTTTGCACTTCATCCTGTGGTGATATGTACCCAGTCAATATGGGGATAATTGAAATTTCCCACTATTATTGAGTTCTTTATTTTGATACCTCTCTAATCTTCCTTAGCATAGTCATTCTATTTTTAAAAATCTCTTCTCTTTATTGCTTGTAACATTAATATGTCTTCAGGATTTCAATGAGATTCTACCCAAGCTTCTGTTCCCACCACACATTTTGCAGTTTCAGGTCCTAGTTTGAGGGGCATAAGCCTTTAGCGAGAAATTCCAGTAGCTGGGTCCTAACATTCTCACCCTTCAGCATCCAAATGGTCTTTAGGAAGTTGATATTCTTTTATGCAATGCAGAGCCTTCCATTTCTGATCACTATGTGGCTGATGGAACTTTGTGAAATCTTTGACTGAAAACTTGAAAGCACAAGACAGTTTGGATTTTCTAGTGATGACAGCACATGCTTATGTATGTATGTATGATGTGTTGCAACAAAACAGCACTGTGACTCACTCGTTTAGTCCCTTAAACCTCCAGGAGCGGAATGTCTTTTAAATGTTAGCATTCCATTTCCATCTGCTTTCCAAAACACCGTAGTTTGTAAATGTTCTCTTGATTACATTTCATTGGTGGTTTTACCGAAGCTGTCTTCTAGGGGCATCAGCTGTCTCCTCATGAAGCTGCTTGATAGAATGTGTTTGGATTTTCAAGGGGCTTTGAATTTAAGCTTAACCCTTCAAAAATGGGGTTTTTTTTGTTTTGTTTTAGTAGGAGCAAGCCGCTGAGCTAACATGCAAGATCTTGCTTTGTCCCATGCATAAGCACATTTCAATCACATATATCATCATGTGTGCTTTTGTTGTTTGGGTTCTGGTTGCTGTGCCAATAACTCAGAGATTTTATCCTTTTAACAGGCTAGACAGTATTGACTGTGATTTTAAAAGATCTGGCCAGATATCTCTAGCTAATGACATTTTGCTCAGCAACATCTCCACTTTGCTGAGCCAATTAAGAATAGAACAAAAACTGCTCAACCTTCTTTAAAATGAATAAGATCATCAAACAAAATGGACCTTCCATAGAGGAACTTGTTCTCAATGCATTTAACAAACTGCCATGCTAGTTCCTGGCTGATCCTTATAACCAGGAACTGGCTGTTACCCAGAAAGGACAATGTATCAGAGCAATGAGCTGTGGAAATAAGAACCTTATTATTACAGATCATTAAGAGACCATGGAAATCACTTTTCTTGATGTCCTTTCTTCATTAAGTTTTCTTTCCTATTCTGAACAATAAGTAAATGAGACAAAAGGCCAAGATCAGACCTGAGTTACTTGGTCACAGCTCTATTGAAGTCAATGGAATTATGCAGCTTACAACAGACATGGCTTTGCCCTGCAGTGTTTAAAACTGTTTTAAGCCACACTATTTATTACATCTGAAGCTCCAGCTTACAATGCTACCATCAAGCAGGAAGCTATTTTTTAAATATTCCATATGCAGAGAGTACATTTGAGCCACACTCAAGGAGCCAGCAATACTGATAACTATAGTGTACATTAAAATATGGTTTTCCATTTCATATTTATGTAAAATAGGCACATTAATTCTATGCCTTTGTTTCTGTCTTCTCTAGTTATATAAGCATGCCTTAAAATGGACTTAATGTAAACCAAATGCTTACATTTCTAGTAACAGTCTACATTAGTTCAAAATCTTGACATTTGTTTTTGCACATTATCTCCTTGTGTTTTGAACATAGTAGTGATGTCTGTAGTTCTCTCATGCAGTGCACCTGGGTCTGCATGTCTGAGTCTGCTTTTGAGGTCCTTAAACAGTTATGTGAACTGCCTGTTTTCAAATTAATAGCACATGCACTCAGTTTTTAGGCTCTTAAGCTTATGTTCAAAAACAGAGAGATATAAAAGTTGCATGATTTGCTGGACCTTTCATAGACTGAAATGACTGTCTGATTTACTAGTTCCTCTTTTCATGCTGAAATCAATATAAAAAGAAATTAAGGGAAAGGGAAAGAAAATGGTTATTCAAAATGCATTCATTCTCTTGCTAACTACAAAAGTGATATTGTAATGAAGTGATTTTAAATGTTAGTCTTTTGGTTCATTGTGTGTGAATATAGTTGTATATTAAATTGCATATCTAACTGCCTTATGGTGGACCGACTTACATTTATATACTAAGAGGAACTGATTTAAAAAAAATGGTTACCCACATTTGAATTGTATGCAAATATCTCACTCTTGATGGCCAGAAGTGTTTTTAGCTGCTATCACAGAACCTGGAGAAAGCAGATGGAAGCTGACATGACTACAGTTATAACACTGCTATGAAATAAGTGACCAATTAGACAGCAAAGTAATCATCTGCATTTCATTGCTTGACATATTGGTAAAAATTTAACTTAAAGATCTGTTAACATTAATGAGAGTCCTGGGTCCCAATCCTTATACATCGGCCAGAAAGTCTGTATGGCAAGGCAATTAGTACTCAAGTTCTTGGTGGCGGAATGGGTGAAACCATTTGATGCGAATAACCAAATAGCAGAACAATGAATGACAGGTTTGGAAATAAGATACTAATCATTTTATGGTAGCTAACTGATCACTATGAGAAAGAGAGGTTAATTAAAAGCAAATTCCACTGTAATTGCTTTTGCAGCCCTTACTTAGTTCAGACCAATGTCAAATAGCTTGCCCAGGGCTAGTGAAAGAATGTCTTGTAAGAAAGAATAAATTTCAAGAGCGGAGGAATTCTTTTGAAAGACTCTACGAACATGCCCAGTCAGAGAGGCTCTCTGGTCTAATGCTACTGCTTCTGGATCAGAATGTAGGTAC